TAAAAAAAGGCATAAAGGTCTTATTATAAAAATACTTAAAATATAATACTTTATAAGGCATTATTTTATTATTTAAGTTTATTAAAAGTAATTTATAATAGCTTATTTTATATTTAGACTAGCTAGTAAAAATCTTTTAAAAACCTTTATTATATATAAAAGTATATAGTTTTAAATAGCTAAAGTTAAGCTTTTTATTATAAAAAAAAAAGTATTAATAATAAGAAAAATAAATAAATTACTATTAAAATTAACTTATTATTAAGCTAGCCTTTAGCACTAACTTTTAATATATATAGTTATTTTTTTTTATAAGACTTTATAATAAATTATATATAGTTTTAAATATTTAAAAACTTATTATAAAATATTAAAATAATTACTTTTTTTTTTTTAAGAACTTTATTACTTTATTTAAGCTAGATATAATTTATACTACTTTTAAAAAGTTTAAGCTATAAGACTTATTTATATAAATAATATTAAGCTTTAAAAGTATTATTAATAATAGCTTAAGCTATAAAAAAAGTAATAAAATAAAGCAGTTTATATAAAATAAGTATTATAAAAAAGCGCAGTTTATATAAGTAAAAAGATATTAACTTAATTAACACTTAGTTAAAAAAAGGCATTATAAGTAATATTACTTAAAGTATTAATCTTTTTAAATATAATCCTTTTTTTACTTAATATAGTAAATAATAATAAATACTATTAGCTAGGTCTTAATTAAAATATTTAAATCTTTAACTTAAGTAAGCTTAATATTATTATAAAAGATATTAATAAAACTGCTTAGCCTTTAGCTATTAATACTGCCTAAAAGTATAATATAATAAAATATAAGGCATATATATAGTTTATAAAATATATATTTAATACTTATTTAAATTATATTAAAATAAAAAATTATATTTTTTATTATTATTTTAAATTTCTTAAAACTTTACTTAAAAAAAAGACTAAGTTTATAAGCTAAATATAAAATTTATTAAGCTTATTATAATTTATTAATACTTTATTAATTATTTTAAGTAATTAAAAAGGAGTATAAAATAAATACTTACTTAAGTAATTTTATATATTAAACTATAATTATAATTAATATTTTAAAATAAAAAAAAAAATACTAAATTAATATTTTAGCTAAATTCTTACTTTATTTTATTTTTAATACCTTACTATTAGCTTTATTAATAAAGAGAGTTTATATATTTTTAATTACTAAGGCGCTTTAAATAATTTATACTTTTATATACTTTTTTAAACTTAAGTATAAATATTTTATAACTAAGCCTTTAATATATATTTTAAAAAATATTTAAAAAATTAATTAAACTTACTTTATATTAATATAAAAATTAATTTAAAGGCTATTAAAGTCTAGATTTAAATTTAAAGTAAAGCTAGATAATTTTAATAATTAGCACCTGCTTAAAAGCAGCTAGGACTTAAGTAAAAAAGAGTAGTATTATATTATTTTTAATTTTTTTAAATTTTATTATAATGCTTTTATATATATAGGTTTATATATAAAGCTTTATTAAGTAGGCTTGCTTAATATTATATAAAAAAAGCTAAAGCAGTTTTTTTATTAAAAGCCTATTAATAAAGTTATTTAAAAAAATAAGGTTTTATAAAAGAACTAAAATAGTAATTTAAAAAAGCTAAATTAATAATAATAGCTATAATAATAATTAAAATAAAAACTTATAATAATAAATATAAAAGTAAATTAAAAAAAAAAGTAAATTATAATAAATAATATATAAAAGGTTAATATAACTTATAGTAAATAAAAATATATAAAGTATAAATTATTAAAAAGTGCTAGAATTAAATAAAATATATATACTTATTTATTTAAAAATTAAAGGAAAGGCTAGTAGTTATATAAAGGGGGGGGTATATTAATAGCTAAAGAGAGGGAAGTAAAGCCTTATAAAAAATAAAGTTAGCCTTAAAAAGCATTTACTTTATTTTTTATTAAGTAATAGAAGGCTAAATTAGCAGAACTTTAAGAAGGTTTAATAATTAAAGGGGGTTCTTTATCTGCTTTTTTATAAATAAGCTATTAATTAGCAGATTAGTAGTTAGGTAAGTGACTACTAGTAAACACTAGCTGTTATATGTTTTTATCTTTTTATCTTTTTATTAGTCTTTTTATTTTTACTTATTGGCGAGATGCCTTAGCAGACTTTAATAGACGTCAAGTTGTGATTTGCTATTCCCTTCTGATTGTAGGTGGCAGGAGGGCTAGCCTTGTAGCTAGGCCTGATAAGATCATATGCTTGCCATATGCCTCAGGTCCTTCTCTACACATCAATCCCTTCCCCGATATACGGGTAGCATCGTTTGCTTTGTCACTGACCATGTAATATCTCAAACTTCTTCGAGGGTGCATATTCCAGTTAAGCTTCGCCATGAAAGTTCGATCCCTCCTATGCTACAAAGACGTCGCTAAATGGTACTTCTGGAACCCGGCACATATGCTAATCTTCGGGGAGAAATGGCAACTCGTTGAGCAACTGAAAGGGAATGCTTGCTTCAGGGGAAATGTCGAGTAATATTATCGGCTCTGCTATTGCTGTGATGAGGAAGACGCTTCAGAAGACCAGGCATCCTCCAGTCGTCCTGCAAACTCGAACTGGACGGCTTCTGAGCACTGGTCCAGGGCCTGAAGCCTTCAGATGAGCTCTGCTGGAAATATGGCAACAGTTGCGACAAAAATACACGGGGCAGAGAATTGCATACCTGTTTCATCGCACTGTCTTCCGGGATACTTAGATGTTGAGACTGAAGCCGAGATGACAATGCGGTCAGTCATCAGTGTTAAGAAGAGCCTTGTTCACCATGCTGACCTCTGGCACAAGGAAGCTACCTATACGGAAAACGTGACAGGTGCACATACCGGGGGTCACCTATGGATGTGTAAACAGCTTCGCCACAATGGTCTCATTCATATCTTCTCTTTCTAATACAACGCTGTGTAAATGATCCTCTGAGGCCTGATTCGTCACAGCCTAGAGAAAGATGACACACGCAATTGTACCTACCTAGGTACTGGATGTTACCAATGGATATGGGACACAACTACTACATCCCATTGTTTATCTAGAAATAGGGCTTCACGAATCCTACGAACGTAAAGAGGCGAATAAGGTTCGTCAACAAGCATAAGTTCAAAGGCTCGGAAGTTGAGTTGGTTGAAAGCTCATGGCCAACGAGTGTACGCTCATCTCATCTTGCTGCTTACGTCTGGCCATTCTTTCGGCACGGCTGCCACGTCGGCCTCATCATCAAAGACTAAGGGAGGGCAGCTTGATAGTCAGGGCACGTTCGCCCTATCACCGCTTTGCCGCGCGTGATCAATCATTTTTCTGGAAGGATCAATCCTTGCGTGATATAGATCATGAAGTAGTCCAGATGCGTTTGCATCATTCACGAGGCTTTCTAATAGATCAGACGGCCATCACATGCGTGTGCTATCGGTCTAGACACCCTTGCCTAAAACCGTTACACACACATTTATACTAGGCAATATGTCTTTATAAGTACAGCCCTGTGCGCGCTGCTCTTTGTTACAGTAGTCAGTTCTGTATGAAGCAGACCCAAGATGAACCTTTTGTTTACTAGAGATGCTCCTCTAGTTGAAGATCCGTCTATGTATCAGTGGATAGATTGCAGATCTCTGGTTTGCTTGCGCATGTCTTATAAACAGCGTCATGCCCGAGGAGGTCACTGAATCCTTCCCACTCAATGTTACCCACCTGATGTGGAATCATATGTGTTCTGGACTTATGATGATAGTTGGGATAACCGAATCGATTTGCCGATATTACCGATTGCCATTGATGCAGAAAAGTAATGTGCTTGTGGGCTAAATTGAATGAGCGGATTGCCCAATTTCGAGAAAACCCTTTTCTCCGTGTTCGAGTCGACCTTGTTAGGCAGTATAGAATATTATCAGCTTTGATGAAAAGCAATCGCAACTCCCTTGCGTGAAGGGTATCTGATGAGATGTGCATGCTTTAGGGTCCTTTCAGCGAGTTCAATAGCAACAAGCGAAGGTTATAATACTTGGATGGTATAGAGGATTCTCAAGCTTTCATTATACCACTGATCGAACCAGGGTCTCACTGCCGAAGCTGCATATTTGATAGCCTGAGCGTTCAGCTACTCTTGATACCACGCGCTTGCATGCATCCTATTCGGTGGGATGTGGTGGTAATGCAGCCCGGAGCTGAAGTGGGAGCAGAATCCCTGACTAAAATTGGTAAAGGATAGATTTCGAAGCCTATGACCGAGCTCTATCCCAATAGCGTCGCATTTCTAAGCGGCTCGACCGAATTCGTCCGTATCGGAGATGTCCTCTGATGATTCCGACTCATGAGATTCATCCGCGTAATAGCAGAAAGGGCTCTCACAAGCTGTCGCGCATCTTCTCCCCCCTTCCGATGCCCTGCTTCTCGGCCAATCAGACACTGGATTGTATCTGACCCAGAACCCCCCCTGGGCAGCGATCCTTCTGCGACGGCAGCGCCCTCGTCTGCAACTAGCGGGACCCCTGGCTCGGCCACCCACTAGCAGCAGATGTCGCAAAAACTTGCCTCGCCTTGGGTTTCTTTACCAAGGACGAACCCACCTATAGGGCTCCAATGTCCGCAGTGCAGCGTCTTACAGATCAGCTGGAGCCATCGTCTGGATTGTCATCCTGCAAGCGAGTTATCGACTTGCTCGACTGTAGCTGCGAGTTGCGTGGCCTGTATTGCTTTGCCGATCCACAGGATTAGAAGGAGCAGAGTGCATGGGTCGAATCCTACGGAGCGTCCTCCTGACTAAGTTAGAAGCCACTCTGTCGCTTGAAGCAATGTAGTTGAAGATATATAAGAGGGTGTTGATGTCGCCATGGAGTTGAGGTTCTGGTTCGATATCATCACACAACTACAACAGCAAACAAGCAACTCACACAACTTACACTCTCAGCCAACGAGCAGAAGATTCGACTCTTGTCCATAATATTCTTCCTCAAACTTTCCAAAATGGCCACCCTCGCTGCCCAGCTGTCCACCCTCGCCGAAGGTGTCAAGCAAAACGCCCCTGCTTCCATCGCCAACACCATCACCGAGTCCATCGCCAACCTCAAGAAGACCTTCGACAAGAGCGCCGTCATCAAGCCCGGCACTCCTCTCCCCAGCTTCAAGCTCCCCAACGCCCTCGGCAAGGACGTCACCAGCGAGGACCTCCTTGCCAAGGGCGGCCCCATCCTAATCACCTTCTACCGTGGCGACTGGTGCCCCTTTTGCAACCTCGCCCTCCGCTCTCTGCAGCAGCATCTCGACCAGTTCCATGCCAAGAACGTCACCGTCGTTGCCATTTCTCCCGAGCTGCCCAACACCTCTCTGACTACTACGGAGAAGAACGAGCTTAAGTTTGAGGTTCTGTCTGATGTCGGCAACAAGTTTGCCCGTCAGCTTGGCATTTGTTGGGAGCAGCCCGAGTCTGTCAAGCCTGTCTTTGATGCCTTCTCTATCGACCTCAAGGCTCGCAACGGCGATGAATCTTATGCTCTGCCTGTTCCAACGACTCTTCTTGTTGACTCCAAGGGAATTGTTCGCAACGTCCACACCGATCCGGACTACATGCAGCGTCTGGAGCCCAGCACCGCTCTCGAGTGGGTTGATGCTTTGTAAATAGGAAGTCTGATTCTGTGGTGAGAAAGGGATCGCTTTACTGGGCTTTCAAGTTATGAGGAGATGATACAGCTGTTCTGGTATTCATTTGCAACTTGTCATTCCGCTTTGCAAGCTACAAACATCCATAGACCAAGCCTGAATCGATAGCAAATACACTTTGAGAGAATTTTTTGTAAACGATCCGTTCTGTCGTCCACGTTTGAGCTCCAATTGGTCAACTTTTTGAGGAGATTCTTCCACACACCACGGCTATCAAGAACATTTGGCATTGACATCAAACCGTATATATCCAGCCCTGGTCACTCCTATACAATTGCACATCTTACTTGGACTACTTCTCCTTTACTCCATGGTAAGTTCGTTGCCCCGGTGAATGCCAGATGTTGACTTGTGACAGCTCAGAGGATAAACATGTAAGCTGTGTAGCTAAGATAAGTCCAACCGCAGCCATGCATCGTTCATCGGCCACTCCTCCAAAAAACTTTTCAGGTAGAGAATCACAAGCCTAATCTGCTAGAGGAGCTGCCGCCACCTGCAAGCCAGCCCCAACTAAACTCGCCGCCCCCATGACAACAATCGGAATCGGCTTCGTAATGGGATCCTTGTCGTTGATAGCAACCGTGTACGAGATTCTGGAGATGTACGACGTGAGGTTTGTCACCTCGTCCAGAATGGCAGCCGATCGCTCCTTTCCAGCTTTCTTCTCGCTCAGCTCGTAAAGGTGCCAGCCGGTGATGAAAAGCGCGGGGATTACCATGATGCTGTCAAGGACGGCAGAGGTGGCTCGTCCATTGTCGGCCGCTGCACCCGCAAACCTGCCGCCCGACATGGCAAGCCTGTCCTGGATTGGCCCGCTGGGAAGGACCTGGTTTAGCAGCGCATAGGCGGATGTTGCGTAGGATATATCGTTGACGACCTTGTTCTCGATAGCATGCCTTGGAACGAGGTTGCTGCTGGCGAGCTGCATCCCGGCAGTGGCGAAGCCGACAACAGACAGCGCATTCCCAAATAGATGGTCGCCTGTCATGAATGATGCCTCGAGAATACTGGTATAGTTGGTCACCAGCAAGAGGATGCTGGTGACAGCGTGGTCAGACATATGAAGCAGCTTCTGCATTTGTCTGCGATGGAGTTTTCTTTAGCTATCCCCTCCAAGTCGTCCCATGACCTGGCTTCGATCAAGGCGTTGATCTCGTTGCTGTCGGGGAATGGCGGCTTCTTGTTGATGGCTTTGTAGGCGATGATATAGCCAACAGCGGCGATCCAAGTAAACAAGTCAAGGAGCAATAGGTCGGGGAAGCCGATGGCATTGAGGATATCCGATATGAAGAGAACGTGAATCTTGGCATGGAGATACTCAACTGCAGAGTCGGCAAGCGACGCCAGGAATGGGAAAAGAATTAACAATGGATACCACAGTTGACGGTTGATATTGTGTACATCAATGTCGGTAGGTAGGTATATCTTATAGGTACTCTCGACATAGTTCAAGAGAATCGACAGGATCCTTGTAGCGTTCGCCTTCGAAGAGGGCTAGACTTATTTGTAACTTAAACCAGTGCTTAAACCTCCTAATTGCACTTACAGCAGGCAAAAGAGCCGATGAGGATTGAGATACCCAACACAGCACGTCAATCGGCCAAAAAGTCGAGACTGAGAATGGCCTGTCACTGCAAGTTGAATGACAAAGCGTAAACTTGAAATAATCTTGGACATACTAGAAGCAAAAAGAGATTATTGAAGGGCATTGAACCCAACCCGATTCGAACGGATAACCTTCAGGAGATTCCTAGCTGGAATCTGACGCGCTACCGTTGCGCCATGGGTCCTGTTGATGTCTTCAAAATTTTACTGCACTTATAGAGCGTTGACGCCATTGAGCTGTTTCTCAAAATTCACCTCTACACAAACACGAATCACGAACAGCAAGTCTTCCTCTCAAGGAATATAGTTGGCATTGCGTAGACATATTAATTCGCTTTCTTAAGTGTGTGTGTTGCTTCTGATGGTAACAAACTCTACGTATTTGACGGCATGTCAATCTAGTCCTCTTTGTTGAGCAGTATAAGAGACGGAAACTTCTACTTGAGCCTCTTCCGATAACAGTTGTGGCGAACAAAAGCCAGTTGAGCTTATTCGTCTACGGATGCGGCTGAATGCATGCAGATGCACTGTTACGCAACATTGAGCACTGATTGGTAGCAGCCGGCTTCCGTCATGTCCTGCTCATGCCTGGCCTTGCCCTGGTTTTGTCTCCCCATATATAGTTACAAGCACATAGCCGGAATTGACGTGGCATGAGGTAGGCTCCAAAAGCCTTGTCACGTCAGTTAGACATCCGAAAGGGTTGCACAATCTATGCCGTTGCTTGAGACTGAGGCGTTTTGACTGGATGGTTAACGATGGTTTGGTCATGCGTACTATACACACTCCCCGAAGGAGGCGGTTTGAACCTATCGATTTGACCTTCGGTGTCGAATCCTGTAGCCCACGCATCTGATATGAATGCATTGCGGCCTAAAGATTGTTCGTCTAATATACCTCGGTGGTATTGACTGCACATGTGCCTTGAACAAGCATAAACCCAAACACTGATATGAAAGGAAGCTTAGGGGACAGTAGATTACTATCTGAGATCCTTGTCACATTGGTCTGAAGGTTGAGAACTTTGACTCTGGGGTCAAGAGCAAATACGTATGCCAGAATATGCGTATGATAGTGATATACTTGCGCCGCAGAAGAGAGGATCCTTGGCCCAGTGCCCATCAGCCTCATGGGCTAGACCATCTTCCTTCCCATAGTCACTGACCTTTTCCGAGATATATTTCAGTTGCATTCCCACTTCCATCCGTGGCTCATCAACTGGTCTACGCAGTTGTGCCTCACCATCGTTGTTCTCCAGCAGAGTCCCAACGCACCTGATCGTCAGAGATAACGCAACTCTACTACTTAGCTATGGATGCTGAACACGGGGGAGGTGGAAGGTGGCATGGATCACCACCACCACCACTACCACGACGCACAGAACAGCGCCCTCGGAAGGAGAAACCACCACCACCAGCGAAGCCGGATCACCTTCGACAGGTAGCTAAATCAACCCCATGCTGCGTATGCCAAGGTCCTGAAAAGGCATGGAAATGCCTTCAATGTGACGATTCGTTTTGCAATAGCTGTTGGTCAGAACAACGGCCTCACCAGGTAAAGGAACCTCGCAGCACGCCTCAGCATTGCATCTGCTCTTGATGTTTCTAAGCGGGCAGCAGAATGCTAACATGTATATTGATAGCCCGGAAAGGTTGGTCTCGACGGTCGCGAACACGAACAAGTTGACGAAGCTGTTATCAAGCAACTACAGAACATCTTTGCAGATGTTTCCAGCAAAGAGCAGCAGAGGCGACACGAAGCGAATAAGAACACCACATGGTTCGGGGTGCACCACGATGAAGATCAACCTTATCTTGAGCACACAAACCGTCTCGTTGATATATTGCAAGACGGACGGAGGGGAGTGCATGATGAGAGATTCCCCCATCTTGTCTCGTTCGTTGGACAGACGGGTAAGTCTCGTGTGACTGCAGGGCCTTGTGTTCTTCATTACTGAACATGTTTCAAGGGGCCGGAAAAAGCACCATCATCAAAATGCTGATGAACTATACCCAAGATGGTGTCTATAACCCAAGAGGTTATCCCGCTCCGGTTCCTGGCCTAGTGGGTGACAATATATCGACAACTGGGAACGTACATCTCTACGCGGATATGCAAACGTACGACTCAAAGCAACCGATACTGTATGCTGACTGCGAAGGGCTGGCTGGCGGTGGGAATCGCCCTCGGGGCCTGGTTCGTTGGGAGGGGTTGGAAAGCGTGAAGCATCCTCGGACTTACGTCAAGCAGAATTTGAGGGCGTTGACGCGGTTGAAGTTGAAGTGGGCGGATATTCCATCAAGAAGTCGTCGCGAGTTCGCGGTTACGAACCTTTTCCCGCGAATTCTCTACACCTTTTCAGATGTCGTGGTATTCGTCTTGCGCGAGGCTAGGTGAGGCGATTAATTACTCTATTTTATCCCTGAGAAGCGGAGTCTAACGAGCCATTTGTATAGAACATTCGAGTCCCATGTGTTGAAACTTCTCATTGATTGGGCAGCAAAATCCATCGACAAATCCGTCAATCAACCAAGTCGACCACACATCATCATTGTTCTCAATCAAACAGATCCCGCCATCAATGAAGAGGAGTGGAATCCAAACCATGCGACAGAAAGATTACTCAATGATTTTGCAGATTCGGTGAAGCATATCGGAGCTTTGAAGGAGGTCGTTGCCAAACTTGAGGGCGCCGGACTTATGATCAACACTACGAAAGACCTTCTCGAATTTTATTATTCTTCGATCACAGTGGTGAGAATTCCCTCAAAAGGTCGGTATATGCAAATGTACACGCAAGTCAAACTGCTACACGAGGCGATCGGTAGCAAGTGCTCAGAGTCCTATCACCAAAAGCAGACAATCCGGATGGCGCTCAATTCCGAAAGACTCCCCCAGTATGTCAATAAGGCATATCACCACTTTTCTCGACACCTGGATAAGCCATTTGACTTCGTTGAAGAGGCACACAGACACATGCCTTTGCCAAAGAGCTTTGGTGAGCATATGTTGAACCTCATGCTCTCCATATACAAGCACTCTCGAGACAACATCACGACGACGTTCACCAAACTTTGCCGTCCGGTTGCAGCATGTATCATGTTGGCCGCTATGCGAGACAATATCCAAGGTTAGACTGGTAGTCTCGAAATGAGTCCAGCTCGTCTCTTTGTGCTTCATACAGAATGTTAACGACCGTTAGGGCCTTACTCAAGCATACTTCACAAAGCCTACAAGAGTACTCTACAAGATGCCTTCTTCCAATTCTGCAACTCGTGGCTACGATGCTCCTTTCAAAGAAACTCTCAACAATGTTGCAATACCAAATATGCCCATGAAAAGGGCCACCAGGCGGAATCAGGCAAATTACTCTCTAAAGGCGCGTACCAATCTCCATTCGATGCCAACTCGTCATTTTCAGAATGGATTCGAAATATCGATCATCAAATTCGCAATCTCAATGCTCCTGTGGAAATCAGTCACCGGGATGAGAGGGATTTCGTCCCTGTCATGCACCGAAGCGTGATGAACGATTTTTACAACGAGACGGTGGCTAAGCTGGAGCTCAAGAGCCATTTGACATGCTTGTACTGCTTGCAAAAGATCCCCAGCAATCCACTGCCATGCGGACACATGCTTTGCAAGGCATGTGTCCGGTCATGTGGAGAAACGCGCGGCCAAGGAATATATCAGCTCAGAGAATGTCCCCTTCATCCCACGGAAACACGATGGCCATCTCCAGTCTACATCAGGTTCAAGCCGCAGGACGCCGGTGTGCGGGTCTTGTGCCTAGATGGGTGAGTGTTGCGGCCTCCGTGAAGGATATATAGACTAACGCGAGCTTCAGGGGTGGCATCAGGGGCATTGTCGAGCTTGCCATCCTCAGAAAGATGGACGATGTGCTCGGAAACCACGTCCCTATTCAGAATTTCTTCGACCTTATAGTTGGTACCAGGTATGCATCGTTTGCGCATATTATCACTGGGAACATCTCTAATAAATCTAGCACCGGCGGAATCATCGCCCTTGGTCTGGGAGTCAAGGGCTGGACGGTCGAGCAGTGTACCACCCATTTCAAGAATCTCTGTCGGCAGGCATTTACTCCCCGCGGTCCTAGTTTGTTGAAACCTTTCACAATTGTTGGTTTCAAAAGTTACTACCGGACTAAGCCTCTGGAGGCCGTGTTACGATCTGCTTTTGACGACAATACGTCCTTGTACGGAGATCATAAGGTGGGATCTCCAGCATCTATCCGAGTTGCAGTCACAGCCACAGCCGCAAGTGACGGCCGCCCGACCATTCTTTCCAACTACAACACAGAGGCTGAACGCAGTCATAGTAAGCAACTCTACCTGTCCTTGCTTGGTGACCATGACTTCAATCTCACCCGAACATAGTGCCGTATGGATTCTTACGACCCCATGATCCCAACAAAGAGCTGAAAGTCTGGCAAGCCGCTAGAGCTACATCTGCCGCTCCGCCGCATTTCAAAGACTTCACCCATTCTGATGCATCATACATCGACGGCGCAATGCATTATAATTGCCCAGTCGAGGTTGCGGATCAAGAGCGGCGTCTACTGTAGGAGGAAGTGAGCGACTGGCCTGCAGACCTGGTTTTGTCCCTAGGAACTGGCTACACTGATAAGTCAAGTGAGATGAAGCTGGCCATCCATCGAGAGCGCAGCTTTGTTCCATTTGGAAACGTGCTTCGCATTGCAAGCAGAATGCTAGAGACCCAGCTGGACTGTAAAGAGATATAGAAGATGTCGCAACGCTCGGATAGCTTAAATTAAGCTCTAGAGAGGTTATTCTAAAGTGCCTTGTTTTTCTATATTAAAGGTGGCCTTCTAAGGCCCTATATATAGGTATTTAAGAAGCTATCCTCCTTCTTATCTTACTAAGCTTTTAATACTATAATAGATTATGCAATTATAGCTTATACTATAATAAGCAAGTGCATATAGGTATAACGCTTAATAAGCTTATAAGTATATAATATATAGCATTTTAAGCTTTTTATAATATACCCCTTACTTAATAAAGCTATTATAAGTGCTTTATTAAGTGTTAAATACTTAATAATATAGTATTAAGCTTTTAAATAAAGAAAATATTACTTTAAAAGTATATAAAAGCTATAATTAAAGTATTTACTATATTTAGTAACTGCTTTATAATCTCTTTTATAAAAGGATTATAAAATACTATACTAGTATTATTAAAAATAATAGCTTTAATTAATAATAATAAAAATATTTACTTACTTTTTATTTAAAAAGCTCTTTTTAAGCTATATAAAAGCTTAAATTTAACCCTTTATAAATACCTTTTTTTTTTATAATTATTATTATTATTATTCTTATTATTATTAATAATAATAGTAATAAAAACACTATACTAACTTATAAATAAAAAGTATATAAATAGTTATAAATAGCCTTATTTAAGCTTTTATTATAATTATAAGCAGCTAATAGTATAATAAAAAGCTTAAAAAAAGGCTTTTATTATTATTACTATTACTTATATAGCTAGAATTATTTAGTATATTACTAATACTTATACTACTACTAATACTACTAGGCCTAATAGCCTTATTATAAGCACTAGTGCTAATACTAATGCCTTTACCCCCTTTCTTTAATGCCTTATACTTATGCCTATAGTTAAAACTATGCTTTTTACTACTATTACTAATACTTAATTTACTATATAATATACTAACCTTTTAAGTTATCTGCTTTTAAAGCCTTATGCCCCTGCCTTATATAAGGTCTAAGAGGCTATATATAATAATAATAATAATAAGGTAAGGGTTTAAAACCCTTTATATAAGGGCTACTTATAAAATATTATTTTTAAAAAAGGCAATTTTACTTAATATATTAATAGCACTAGGCGCTTTACTTAATATATAGTTTATAAAAGGTTTAGCTATTTTTATTTTCTTTTATAAATTTTTAAAAACTTACTGCTTTTTAAGCTTTACTTTAGCTAATATTATACTATAGCTGCCTTATCCTTCTTCCCTTTACTTATAAGTTAGTAAAGGTTATTATTATTATTAAGGATAAAACTATAAATACTATTAATAATAAATTATAATACTTAAAAGCTAATTTTTAAGTAGTTAAAGAGAGACCTTTAGTATATATTATGCCTTTAAATTAAGCTGCTAAATATTAAAGATTTAGTATATAAAAAGGAGTAGTAAAAGCCTTTTAATATAATAAAGAAAGAGATATAAAAGTATATTATAAAGGCATAAAAAAAGGTAAGTGCTTAAATATTTTAGGCTTAAGTATAGCTAGTTTATAATAAAGGTAATATATATAGCTAGTTTATTATTAATATATATTATAAGTATAGCTAGTTTACTACTTTTAATTAATTAAATAATTTATATACTTTTTTTTAATATTCCCCTTACTTATTTATAATTATAATATTACTTATATTTACTATATTTAATAATAATTTAAAATACTTAAAGCGCTAATAAGGAAAGGCCTTTATAAGCTTATTAGTAGTTATCTCTTATATAAAAAAATAAAAAACTTTAAATATTCCTTTTTAATATTCTTAATAAAGCTATATATTATATATATTTATATATTATAAATAAGTGCTAATTTAATTATTTAAGCTAATTATAAGCTATATTATTTATTAATTATTATAATTAAGCTTTTACTTATTTTTAAGGTTAAACTTTATATATATAAATAGTTATTATAAAGTTATAGTTTTCTTTTTTAGTTATATAAGTAATAAAAGCTTTACTTTTATAGTTAAAGTGCTAATTATACTTTACTTTATTATACTTTATATAATTAATCTTTTAAATATTATAATTAAGAACCTTTATAAAGACCTTTAAGTCTTAGTATTATTTATAAAAGAAGTATTACTAAATATATATAGTATTTATATTTTATTTACTTTTTTATATTATAATATAAAGTGCTTTTATATATAAAAATAATAAATTAGCTAGTTTACTACTTTTTAATATATTAGGCTTAAATTAGTAAAAAAGTAAAAAAAGGCTAAGGCAGTATAAGCTATATTAAGTTATATTATAATAGCTATATATAATATAAAACCTAGCTTTTTTTAATATAACTTAATCTCTGCTTTTATAGCTTAGCCCTTATATTTTATAAACTTAATTATTAAAATTAAAATTAATAAATACTAACTATAGTTAGCTAAATTAAATTATTATATAATTTTTATTATATAAGATTTATAAAATAGTATAATTCTTTACTTAATATACTTTTAAATAATATAAATACTTAAGAATTAAGCTATATTACCCCCTTTATAAAGCTTATATTTTATTTTTAATACTTTAATTAGCTTTATATAATATACCTTATCTTTTTTATAATAAGTAATAATAATATTATTAATATAAAAGTATATAAATAGCTTATAATTATTATTATAATATAAGCAGCTTTTTTTAAAGTATACTTTTAGCTTAAAGGTAAAAAGCATGCTTATAAGCTTTTTATATTATAGCTTTAGTAAATCTCTTAATTTATAAAAAGCCTTTTTAAGCTTTATAAGCTTTTAGCTTTTAAAAACC